AAAAATATCGTTAACCGGGGGTCCACTGTATACGAGTAGACCTTCTGCAGTGTTCCTCAATTCTTATGTTCTTATGTGGGATAGCGATGAAGAAGTTTCTTGGCAAGAGGTTCAGCTATGTTATAGAAGCAGTTGTTCTGGTTAAAGTTGTTGGACTGCAGCAAATTATACATCGGCGAAACATCTAGAGACCTCCAAACAAGTACAGTGGACCCTCGCCTAACGCTATTAATCCATTCCTGAGAGCTCAACGTTAGGCGAAATTATTGTTAGGCGAATTAATTTTCCCCATAAGAAATAATGGAAATCAAATTAATCCGTTCTTGACACCCCAAAGTATGAACAAAAAAATTTTTTACCACATGAAATATTAATTTTAATACACGCAAACTGAAGGAGACATGCACAGTTACATGACACTTACCTTTATTGAAGATCTGGTGATGATTGATGGGATGGGAGGAGGGGAGAGTGTTGATGGTGTTAGTGTTTAGAAGGGGAATCCCCTTCCATTAGGACTTGAGGTGGCAAGTCCTTTTCCAGGGTTACTTCTCTTCTTCTTTTAATGCCACTAGGACCAGCTTGAGAGTCACTGGACCTCTGTCGCACAAAATATCTGTCCATAGAGGCCTGTACCTAACGTTCCTTTATGACATTCCTAAAGTGTTTCACAACATTGTCAGTGTACAGGTTGCCAACACGGCTTGCAATAGCTGTGTGAGGGTGATTTTCATCAAAAAATGTTTGCACTTTAAGCCACATTGCACACATTTCCTTAATCTTTGAAGTAGGCAACTTCCTCAATTTCTCTATCCCCTCCTCCGAAGCAGTTTCCTCAGGTGTGGCCTCTTGCTGTTGAAGATGATCTAGCAGCTCATCAGTGGTTAGTTCTTCATTGTCCTCCTCCACCAACTCTTCCACATCCTCCCCACTAACCTCCAACCCCAAGGATTTCCACAATGGATTCCTCAACTGGCATAGGATTCCCAGGGTTAGCCTCAAACCCTTCAAAATCCCTTTTGTCTACACATTCTGGCCACAGTTTCTTCCAAGCAGAGTTCAAGGTCCTCTTAGTCACTTCCTCCCAAGCCTTACCTATAAACTCTCTTAGAGTCAATTGAGTTTCTGCGGTCACTACGAAGCACCTTTCAAACATAGCTTTTGTGTACAGTTTCTTGAAGTTGGAAATGACCTGCTGGTCCATGGGCTGCAGGAGAGGAGTGATATTAGGAGGCTCACCTTAATGAAGTTCATTTCCGCAGAAAGTCGCTCTGCCACGTCTGAAGGATGACCAGGAGCACTGTCTAATACCAGGAGGCACTTAAAGTCTAATTTCTTTTCAATTAGGTAATTTTTCACAGTGGGGGCAAATGCATGGTGTAACCAGTCATAGAAAAAGTCCCTAGTGACCCATGCCTTACTGTTTGCCCTCCACAGCACACACAAATTAGCCTTGAGGACATTGTTTTTCCTGAACACTCTGGGAGTTTCTGAGTGATACACCAATAAAGGCAATCACCACTAGCATTGGCACACATCAACAGAGTAAGTCTGTCCTTCACAGGCTTATGTCCTGGGAGTGCCTTTTCCTCCTGAGTAATGTATGTCCTGTTTGGCATTTTCTTCCAAAACAGGCCTGTTTTGTCACAATTAAACACTTGTTCAGGTTTCAGTCCTTCACTGTCTATGTACTCCATGAATTCCTGCACACATTTTTCAACCACTTTGTGGTCCGAACTGGCAGCCTCACCATGCCTTATCACACTATGTATGCCACTACGATTCTTAAATCTCTCAAACCAACCTTTGCTGGCCTTAAATTCACTCACATCATCACTAGTTGCAGGTATTTTTCCAATTAAATCATCACGCAACTTCTTAGCCTTTTCACATATGATCGCTTGAGAGATGCTATCTCCTGCTATCTGTTTTTCGTTTATCCACACCAATAACAGTCTCTCAACATCTTCTATCACTTGCGATCTCTGTTTTGAAAACAAAGTTGCACCTTTGGCAAGAACAGCTTCCTTGATTACCGTTTTCTTGGCCACATTAGTAGCGATGGTTCATTGGGGTTTTGTGTACAACCTGGCCAGCTCGGAGACACGCACTCCACTTTCATACTTAGCAATGATCTCTTTCTTCATATCCATAGTAATTCTCACTCTTTTTGCTGTAGGGTTGGAACTAGAAGCTTTCTTGGGGCCCATGGTAACTTATTTTGCAGGTGTAATCACTAAAAAGGCTGTGATAATATGAAATGTTCCGATTGTATGCTTGGAAGCGACTGCGGTGGCTGGCTTGTAAACACTGGCACCCACGGAACAAGTGAGGTGGGCTCAGGCTGCACGTGGACGAGTCTTGAATGAACCGCGTTGAGCGAGTTTTTTAGCGCTAGCCGAGGCAAACTTTTTGCGTTAAAATGTATCGCTAGGCAGATTTAACGTTATGCGATGCGTTCGTTAGGCGAGGTTCCAGTGTATTTCAGAACACCAGTATGCAGACAGATCTGACAATCCAAGAAATGCCTGTGTTCAATACCGAAATTCACACAACCATTTATTGAACTACAGAAATGCAACTACAGAAATGTTATAGAAGCAGTTGTTCTGGTTGAAGTTGTTGGACTGCAGCAAATTATGCATCGGTGAAACCTCCAAACAAGTATTTCAGAACACCAGTATGCAGACAGATCTGACGATCCAAGGAATGCCTGTGTTCAACACCAAAATTCACACAACCATTTATTGAATTACAGAAATGCAAGACTCATTGCCAGAGAAGACAACACTCAATACCAAAGAACCCTGGAATCATCACTTATCTGTACATCCAACAACTTTAACCAGAACAACAGCTTCTATAACATAGCTGAACCTTTTGTCAAGAAACTTCATCACTATCCCACATAAGAACATAAGAATCGAGGAACACTGCAGAAGGTCTACTCGTATACTTATCCAATCCCAAGTTTTTAGACTATCTACTCGGAAGATTGTCACATGCAGGTTTCTCCACCTGACCTAGCATTCTCATCTTATAAATACTCATGCATGTTTCAACCAGGTAGATCTGTTTGTGACTTGATAAAGCCCACTGCGTGGGTGAAACGTTGTCAATAAAGGATCACATTATACTGCATACGTGTTTATATTTCCATTGTGTCGGTATTTTATACCATTTATTTCCACAGTGTTCCTCCATTACGTTCTTATGTAAGATGGCACATCACCCATTTGAATCGTCATATGGTACATCTATATACACCCCCCTCCCTTGAAGAGGGGTGGTTTTGATCTAGGGAACTGAAGCTGCCATCAACTTCCGTAGATTATAACTAATTTCCAGGCACAACACGACCATTATGGGTTGAGCTGTTCCTCGTGAATCCAATAATAACACAAACATTTCACCAACACTACTTTTACTCTTATAGCTCAACATCACATCAAAGTGATATTTCCTTTAATTTTATTACTGCTCCTTTACTTTGCAATAATAAATACAAAGTGCTGCACAACTTGGAAGTTAATGGAAGACACAGTGGCTGGTTGATGATAATGATAGTTATGACTGATTAAGGTAAATAGTGATGATTAATATAGACTGATCATGGTGATTATTAATGTTGATGGTGACCAATGATTACTGATTAGTAGCTCTGATGATATTGATGATTAGTAATTCTTTTTTTCTTCTTTCAACAAACCAGCTGTATACCACCAAGGCAGGGTGACCCAAAATGAAAAGCGAAAGTTTCTCTTTTTAAATTTAGTAATACTGCATATACAGTAGAAGGGGTTACTACCCCCTTGCTCCCAGCATTTTACTCGCCTCTTATGACACGCATGGCTTACGGAGGGAGAATTCTGTTCCACTTTCCCATGGAGAATGATTAATGATAATTATGAATAACATCTGTCAATATCCTTGTCTAAGTTGCCTGAAATAATGTGGGGATTTCAAAACTTGTGTTTATTATGTTTTGAAAAGAAAAATGTTGACTTCTGAATCAATTAATTAATTAATGAATATTATTGATAACTGATAGCAATAATTGTCATATTATTACTGCTTACCAATGATTATTACTGATATTTATTAAGAAAACTGACTGCTAATGAAGTTAATTATTGCTGATGCAAAATTGTCATGTATTTTTTTTTTAACACTGGCTATCTTCTACTGAAGTTGGGTGGTCCAACAAAAAAGAAAACACTTTTGCTGCCTCTCACTCAATAACTATCAGAAGGGCACCAACATCACAATTCCAATGACCCTCCAAACTGCAACATCCCTGCCCTCCTCCAGATTGCAGGCAGTGTACTTCCTACCTCCAGGACTTTAATCCAGCTAGCTCGTTTTCCCTGAATCCCTTCATAAAGGATACCTCTCATACTCGAACATCATGTTCACAAACTTGTTGGATGTCCAAACCCCTAACACTCAAAACTTCCTGTTTCCCAGCTTCAATCTTTCCTAGGACAACTCCTATCCATCTTTCCTTCCACCCCAGATCTGCAGTAATGGATTCAAATTAGACAAGTTTAGATTTAGAAAGGATAGGAAAGTATTGGTCTGGAAATAGGGTAGTTGACTGGAACAGTCTGCCTAGTAGGGTTACTGAGGCTAAAACCTTGGGTAGTTTAAAATTTAGGTTGGATAAATACATGAGTGAGAGGAGTTGGATTTGAGTGGGACTTGCACGCGAGTTAATAGAATTATCAAAGCTTATTGCTTTGGTAGAATTGAAAATTGGGTTGGGCAAATATTCTGTTAATGGGATGGATTGTGAAGGACCTGTATACTATGGGCCAAAAGGCCTGTTGCAGTGTTCCTCCTTTCTTATGTTCTTATGTACCCTCATAGTCATCCTATTTTTCTCCATACTCTCTAATGTCCAAACCATCATTACAGGAAAAATAGCACTATCCTCATAACAAGAACAAAAGGTCTGACATGCAAAAAATTTATTAAACTAATGAAATAACTCTTCTTACCATCGGGATCTCTGCGTTTTATTTTAATAAGTATTGGCTCATCATCATCATAAGAATTATGTCTGCCTTTGGGTCGTGGACTGGAAACATCATCTGTGGCTGGTGTGTTAATGGATAGGTCTGACATACGAAAAATAGCACTATCCTGAAAATAAGAAAGGTCACAAAGCAAACAATACAGACTAGTGTTTTATGCTAAGGCAAGTGTGGCAAGTGTGTTTGAAGCAACTCCACTGATGAGTTCTTAAACATTCATAAACAATATCAATGCTAAAATCTGAAGGTAATGAACCCATATAGATGCTTAACTAATAAACAAGACAAAATACATGCCAAATCATGGTGACTGATATTTAAAAGTTGCTCTCCATATAGTGCAAATTGCATTTTGTATAACTCACTCGCTCTGTGTAAAAATATATATATATATTTTGTAACAAGTCTTCCATCTCCCACCAGGCAGGGTGACCCAAAAAGAAAGAAAATCCCCAAAAAGAAAATACTTTCATCATCATTCAACACTTTCACCTCACTCACACATAATCACTGTTTTTGCAGAGGTGCTCAGAATACAACAGTTTAAAAGCATATATGTATAAAGATACACAACATATCCCTCCAAACTGCCAATATCCTAAACCCCTCCCTTAAAGTGCAGGCACTGTACCTCCCATTTCCAGGACTCAAGTCCGGCTATATAAAAATAACCAGTTTCCCTGAATCCCTTCACTAAATATTACCCTGCTCACACTCCAACAGATCGTCAGGTCCCAAATACCACTCATCTCCATTCACTCCTATCTAACACGCTCACGCACGCTTGCTGGAAGTCCAAGCCCCTTGCTCACAAAACCTCCTTTACCCCTTCCCTCCAACCTTTTCGAGGACAACCCCTACCCCGCCTTCCTTCCCCTACAGATTTATACGCTCCCCATGTCATTCTACTTTGACCCATTCTCTCTAAATGACCAAACTACCTCAACAACCTCTCTTCAGCCCTCTGACTAATACTTCTATTAACTCCACAACTTCTCCTAATTTCTACACTATGAATTTTCTCCATAATATTTACACCACACATTGCCCTTAGACAGGACATCTCCACTGCCTCCAACCGCCTCCTCGCTGCAGCATTTACAACCCAAGCTTCACAGCCATATAAGAGTGTTTTTACTACTATACTTTCATACATTCCCTTCTTTGCCTCCATAGATAACGTTTTTGCTCTCCACATATACCTCAACACACCACTCACCTTTTTTCCTTCATCAATTCTATGATTAACCTCATCCTTCATAAATCCATCCGCTGACACGTCAACTCCCAAATATGTGAAAATATTTACTTCTTCCATACTCCTCCCCAATTTGATATCCAATTTTTCTTCATCTAAATCATTTGATACCCTCATCACCTTACTCTTTTCTATGTTCACTTTCAACTTTCTACCTTTACACACACTCCCAAACTTGTCCACTAACCTTTGCAATTTTTCTTTAGAATCTCCCATAAGCACAGTATCATCAGCAAAAATTAACTGTGTCAATTCCCATTTTGTATTTGATTCCCCATAATTTAATCCCACCCCTCTCCCGAACACCCTAGCATTTACTTCTTTTACAACCCCATCTATAAATGTATTAACCCTTTCAAGGTCCGGAGGCCAAATTTCAAAGTGTGCACCAGGGTCCAAGAATTTTCAAAAAATAATTTTGTTATTTTTTCTTATGAAATTGTAGAGAATCTTTTTCTGAAGGTAATAAAACAAAAAGTATGAAATTTCGATGGAAAATTGACGAAATTATGCACTCGTGAATTTTGATGTGTCGGAGATATTTACATATCGGCAATTTTGCCGACTTTGACTCCCATTTTAGGCCAATTACTGTACGTATTCCAGTCAACCAAATTCTTAGCTATTTCACTAGTATTACTTCTATTCTATCGATTGAGCACAAGAAATCGCCAAGTCAACTGTTTCAACAACAAAATAAAGTGATGGGAAATTGGGAATTTGGCCAATTTAATGCAAAGTTCAAAATATTCCAATTTCAAAATAGGGTCCAGAATAAACAATGCAGGCATTCCTGGCACTAAACGTACATTTCCTCTGTTCATTAGTTATGTTTTCAGGCTTTACAAATGAATTCCATTTTTATTTTTTATTCACATAATGAATTTTTATTCAAACCAAAAAATAGAAGATTTACTGTTATGCAATATTGTAATACTAATTGTATAAAAAATATCACCACATTTGTGAATGCATATTAGACCCACCAGCTGTCATGTATTAGACTTGTGAGGTCATTTGTTTACTCTTGAACATCGGCAAAAATTTAACATTTCTGCTACTTTGAGCTCAGTTTCAAGCCATTTTGACTATTAAAACCAATCAAAATCATCTCTATTTTTATAGTATATCTTCAATTCTATCCAATGAGACCAAGAAATTGCAAATACAACTATAAAAAACGTACAAAAAACACTGCAAAGTCGTTGTTTTAATCGAAAATTACGGTCTCAGTTTTTTCTCTCATTATGCACTGTGTGCTGCAGGATTTGTTTTATGTGGTGCACACATATCACATAGATGTATTCTCTCATATCTAGGCCCAAATTTACTACTCATAGCTTATCAGAGTGAGCTGAGCTCATGGCGTAGATCTACAGTTTGGACCCTGAACGCAAAGCTGTAGATCTACGGCACGGACCCTGAAAGGGTTGAACAACCATGGTGACATTACACATCCCTGTCTAAGACCTATTTTTACCGGGAAGTAGTCTCCCTCCCATCTACACACCCTAACCCGAGCCTCACTATCCTCGGAAAAACTCTGTACAGCATTTAGTAATTTACCACCTATTCCATATACTTGCAACATCTGCCACATTGCTCCCCTATCCACTCTATCATATGCCCTTTTTAAATCCATAAATGCAATAAAAACTTCCCTACCTTTATCTATATACTGTTCACATATATGCTTCAATGTAAACACTTGATCTACACATCCCCTACCCACCCTAAAATCTCCTTGCTCATCCACAATCCTACATTCTGTCTTACCTCTAATTCTTTCAATAATAGCCCTACTGTACACTTTTCCTGGCATACTCAGTAAACTTATTTTTTTTTATTTTGTTCTTTTTATTATCAACATGCCTTGCCATCCACTAGGTACCTTCCCTTAAATAAAAAAAAATACCAACCACTCCATCACTGTTATGCCCCCGATGCTTTCATACATTTTTTAAACCTGCAACACTTTAACACCCCTTTCAGAGTAGCACACGAACTTCCCCATCTCCATCGACTCTTCTCGCCTGCCGTGTTCCCCTGGCCCTGTCATAAATTACTTTGCTCACCTTCTCAGCAACTTAAGTTTAAAATATTCCACTTAAATCTCCATTCCCACTCCTAATCAACCTACTTTTTTAACGCAATCCATTCTGAGGTTTCAAGTTTAACTCGCTCCACATTCATAAACTTCCAGTTTCCCCCTCCCTCCAACCCTTCCTATGCCACCCTCTACCCCCTCCTTTCCTCTCCATAACAACTGATACACTCTTGAAGTTCATATCTGTTTCTCTCCATTTCTTACATTCCACCAACCCCTTTCTAACAACCCTTTCCTCACCTTCTAAACAGTTTTTTAATCCCCAAACCTCTCTAACTTCCAAACTACGATTTCTGCATTTTATTCTCACCCTAATTCCCCTCAGATACATCTTTCATCCTCCCCTTCTCCTCGTTTGCACTTTTTCATCCCCACGCTTCCATCCATTAAACTTGGTAAACTATATTTCTATACATTCCCTCTTTGCTCCTGGACTAATATCTTTGTCTCCACAAGACTCTAAGTGCATACTCACTTTTTTTTTTCCCTCATCAATTCTATGATTCACCTCTTTCTTTCATAACCCATTTCCGCTGCACACTCCACTCCCCAAATATTTATACGTTCACCTCCTCCATACTCTCTCCCTCCAATCATTTCCAATCTTTCATCACCTAATCTTTTTGTTATCCTCATAACCTTACTCTTTCCTGTATTCACCTTTAATTTTCTTCTTTTGCACACCCTAACCAAATTCATCCACCAATCTCTGCAACTTCTCTTCAGAATCTCCCAAGAGCACAGTGTCATCGGCAAAGAGCAGCTGTGACAACTCCCACTTTGTGTGTGATTCTTTATCTTTTAACTCCACGCCTCTTGCCAAGACCCTCGCATTTACTTCTCTTACAACCCCATCTATAAATATATTAAACAACCACGGTGACATCACACATCCTTGTCTAAGGCCTACTTTTACTGGGAAAAAATTTCCCTTTTTCCCTACATACTCTAACTTGAGCCTCACTATCCTCGTAAAAACTCTTCACTGCTTTCAGTAACCTACCTCCTACACCATACACTTGCAACATCTGCCACATTGCCCCCCTATCCACCCTGTCATACGCCTTTTTCCAAATCCTAAATGCCACAAAGACCTCTTTAGCCTTATCTAAATACTGTTCACTTATATGTTTCACTGTAAACACCTGGTCCACACACCCCCTACCTTTCCTAAAGCCTCCTTGTTCATCTGCTATCCTATTCTCCGTCTTACTCTTAATTCTTTCAATTATAACTCTACCATACACTTTACCAGTACACTCAACAGACTTATCCCCCTATAATTTTTTGCACTCTCTTTTTTCCCCTTTGCCTTTATACAAAGGAACTATGCATGCTCTCTGCCAATCCCTAGTACCTTACCCTCTTCCATACATTTATTAAATAATTGCACCAACCACTCCAAAACTATATCCCCACCTGCTTTTAAACATTTCTATTTTTTACCCATCAATCCCGTGCCTTACCCCCTTTCATTTTACCTACTGGCCTCACGAATTTTCCCCCACACTCAAAACTGGCTCTTCCTCACTCCTACAAGATGTTATTCCTCCTTGCCCTATACCGAAATCACAGCTTCCCTATCTTCATCAAATTTAACATTCCTCAAAATATTCCTTCCATTTTCCCCAAATACCTCTACCTCCCCATTTAATAACTCTCCTCTCCTATTTTTAACTGACAAATCCATTTGTTCTCTAGGCTTTCTTAACTTGTTAATCTCACTCCAAAACTTTTTCTTATT